AAACCAGAATGCATACACTTTCATAGAAGTAAAAGAAAAAAAGGAGAGAAAAAAAAAAGTTTGCCCTTTCAGCTCTCTTCACTTACATGATGAAACACTTAGATAGGATCAAATATTTAGACTGTAAACTGCAGAGCTCTCCCTGACATTCTTATATATAGATTCTAGTTTCTTCACTACACTGACATTTAGAATTTTTTCAAACTATCCAATCGATCTTGTCTGCCATAAGTTGAACCAATTCTTTCTCATCAGCCAAAAAGAACAAACCCCTTCATCTTTTATATACTGTAGACAACTTATATTTCCTCTCTTCTGCTGCTGTTTCCTAAATTAATTAACACCTGTCATGCATTGCACTTTCTAACTGCCTTATCCTCTTGCTGTTCTCTTACACACCTCTGGATCTCTAAGTTTTGTGTCCTAAACTGTACACTGCACGTAGCAGACACATCACTGGGCTCTGGGCAATCTGAGGTAATTGAAGAGATCCCCGCTCACTGCAGGAGGGTTGGACCGAAGGACCTTTAAAGGACCTTTCCCACCCAAACTATTTTATGATTAGCTGAAATAAATAAAGAACAGCACTTAACTCTCAAACCATCTTTACAGTTGAATCTCCAATCAACTTTTTGCAGAAATTAAATTTTTCAGTAATTAACCACAAAATGAAATTTAATTTTAAAGTTGCTACATATTTCCTTCTCCCACAGTCCATAACTCCTCACTTCAGGTTTATTTGATATGCTTGGTGTTTTGTTTTTTTTTTTCCTTAAGTAGCATTTCCATTTTTATTGACAGAGTAAAACACATATGAGTATAGATGATCAAACTTCTGATTTGAGCAGCAGAGCTTTTATTAGTAATGATGAGAGAACTGAAAGCAGATCAAGTTTACAGACAGCTCCATCTGGGAAATCAGCTGGAGAAAAAAGACCACTCTGACAATTAGGCATACTTGATATAAATCAGACATTAATCAAAAAACGCTACAAAGCTATCTATTTTACAGAGTTTCATTTCAATGTAAAGACACACTTTCAGCCCTCCAAAAAAAAGCCTTCTGCAATAACATGAGCAAAGCTGCCTGTGACAGAGCCAAGAGAGGCAAACAATAAGGGAGAGAGCATTTTGCAGAGAAAGAAAAAGAATTTTTTTAGGTAAATCTAATGTTTGTATCTGATATTAGAGTACAAAGAAAAGAGACAGTTCACTTACAGTCAACATAAACAAGCACCAAAGAAATCCTAAACTTTAAATATTAAACTGGTAAGAGGGTGAATCAAATGTTATTTTGCTATTTCAGGCAACAATTTTCACAGAATCACAGAATACGCTGAGTTGGAAGGGACCCACAAGGATCATTGAATCCAACCCTTAGCTCTGCACAGGACCATCCCCAAGAGTCACACCATGTGCCTGAGTGTACCATCCAAATGCTTCTTGAACTCTGTTAGGCTTGGTGCTGTGACCACTTCCCTGGGGAGCCTGTTCCAGTGCCCAACCACCCTCTGTCTAATATCCAACCTAAACCTCCTGACACAGCTTCAGGCCATTCCCTCAGGTCCTGTCACTGGTCACCAGAGAGAAGAGATCAGTGTCTGCCCCTGCTCTTCCCCTCACGAGGAAGTTGTAGACTGCAATGAGGTCTGCCCTCAGTCTCCTCCTCCCCAGGCTGAACAGACCAAGTGACTTCAGCCACTCCTCATTCAGCTTCCCCTCTAGGCCCTTCCCCATCTTCGTTACCCTCCTTTGGACACTCTCTAACAGCTTAATATCTTCCTTATATTGTGGTGCCCAAAACTGTACACAATATTCAAGGTGACACTGCACCAGTGCAGAGCATTTTGGGACAGTCATCCCCCTTGACCAGTTGGCAATGCTTTGCCTGATGCCCCCCAGGACAGGGTTGGCCCTCCTGGCTGCCAGGGCACTGCTGACTCATATTCAACTTGCCATTGACCAGGACCCCCAGGTGCCTTTCTGTGGCACTGCTTTCCAGCATCTCATTCCCCAGTTTGTATGTATGTCCAGGGTTGCCCCATCCCAGGAGCGGAATCCAGAACTTTCCTGTTGTTGAACTGCAGGGCCTCCATGCCTTCAAGGGAGTCAACAGCTCCTCCCAGTTTTGTGTCATCTGCAAACTTGTTTAGTATACCTTCCAGTTCTGTGTCCAAGTCATTTATGAAGATGTTGAAGAGCACAGGGCCACTAGTGACAGGTCACCAGTCTGATGTCACCCCATTCCCTATTACCCTCTGTGATTGACCCATGAGCCAATTGCTCACCCAGATCATGTTGTGTTTATCCAGCTGTGGGCTGGACAGTTTGTCCAGAAGGATCCTGTGAGAGACAGTATCAAAAGCCTTACTGAAATTCAGAAAGATTACATCAACTGGCTTCCCTTGATCCACTAGGTGGGTTACCTTGTCATAAAAGGAAATCAGGTTGGATAAGGAGGACTTTCCTCTTCTGAAGTCGTGCTGACTCTGACTGACGACTGTGTTGTCTTGCAGGTGTTTTTCAATGCCTCCCAGAACAGTCTTCTCCATAACTTTACCAGACACTGAAGTGAGACTGACAGGCCTGTAGTTTCCAGGGTTCTCCTTCTTGCCCTTCTTTAAAATTGGGACAACATTCACCAGCTTCCTGTCAGTTGGGACCTCTCAGGATTCCCAAGACTGCTCAAAAACCATCAACAGAGGTTTTGCGATGACATCAGCAGCTCTTTGAGGATTCTGAGATGAATCCCATCAGGCCCCAGAGATTTGTAAGGATCCAGCTGGAGCAGCAGATCTTGCACAATTTCAGGGTCAACTGGGGGTTGATCATTCTCACAGTTCTGCTCCTCCAGTTCAGGGCACTGAGACCCCCTTGGTCCATCAGCCGTGTTGTAGACAGAGGCAAAGAAAGTGTTAAACATCTCTGCCTTGTCTCTGTCCCTGTTTGTGAGGTGACCATCCTCACCCTGTAATAGGTTGATGATATTTCTATACTGCCTACTGCCACTAATATATTTGTTAAAACTCTTTTTATTGTCCCCCACATTTCTGGCAGCTTCAACTCCAGGTGAGCTTTGGTCACACAAATTTTCTCCCTACAGCAGCAAGCAGCATCTCTGCATTTCCATGTCAAGAAATACTCTCAAGATTTTAATTAAACTTTATTCTTACTTCAAAAAAGGTTAAAACATCTCTTTGGCTGGCACTCTCGTGCTTCATTCCCATGCTGTCCTTTGCATGACAAAGAATGCAGATCTCATGGGACTTCAACAGTCACCTACAAAAGGCTAGATTGTTTCTCCATTTTGGAGATTCACTCACACTATTACACATTTTGCAAGAACTCTTAAGAGGCACTCAGTCATAAAACTGAAGAATATAAATTTGGAAAGACAAACTCAAGCCTGTACATCCCTATCATTAGGCAGAAAGGAGACTTCTTGCACTATAATCTGTCATACAACAAAGTATCATAAGCAGTCCTTGAAACCTAAGACACATATTGAGACTTCATTCAGTCTTTAAAAGTGACAAAAATGGCTACATTGCAGTCACTTACACTTGTTTTGCTGTAAGCAACAGAAATAAATTAATTTCTTTTGAATTTTACAATAATTTATTAAAATATTCAACATGTAAGTTACAGTCAAGGAAGAAAACTAGAAGATTTCATCACTTTTGGTAAACAGAAAGGAAAATGATCATTTTACAACAAAGACAATTCAACTTTTCTTAAAGTAAACTCCAGAGGTGCAAACCCAAAACTATATGTAGCACATAAGTATACCTGCAGCTCCAAAAACCATACAATCCTTAAAAAAAACACAACCAAGCAAGCAACCAACCAAACAACAAACAACAACAGAAATCTCACACTGTCAGACAAATTTTAGTTGACAGTTAAGACCTTTGCACAACACTTAGTTACCATTAAAAGTTTACCTACTGCATTCATTCTGTGCATCTCAAGTAATAATTATATCTGCCCCTGTACCTCTATAATTTCAGATGTATAAATCATCAACTGCGTACATTATGTCAAAATTTTCCAAGAATGCATGTATATATGCATATCACTTACTTGTAGCAACATGACAAAGCAAATTCTGTATCTACTTCATTACTAAAAATCCCCTGTAACTGAAAAAGATGTCAAATACACCTTATTTTTTCACTACTTCTCAACCAATACTGGAAAATCTGCTCCGTCAGTATCAAGTCCCATCACACACAGTGGAATGCAGTATCATTAATTTTAAAAACATGTGATTTTTTTCCCTTCTTTCCCTTCCCTTATAACAAGTGGTACACTCACACACTAGCAAGAGCATTTTCAGCAAGTACTGAAGTTAACTGAAGAGAAAAAAAATACGACCAAAAAAACCAACCAAGTAAAAAACCAAACCACAAAGAAGGTTTGATACAATTTCACATATGGCTTAGAGCTCACAAAATTGAATTTTATTTTAAAGAAAGATACAACGCTGACAAAGACCAGCAGTCTTTCCATGAAGCAAAATTTAGATCATCTGCTCAGACACTTGAATTAAAACAGGTAGCAGAGGAAGAAGTAAATATGAGCTGTATGAAATCAGATAAAAAGAAAACACATTCTACATGTTAAGATAACTGACAATAACACAGTTATCCAATAATCTCCTAATTTATATGCAGTTCCTCCTTAAAAAAAGAGGGGCAACAATATGCATACAAATCCTCCACAGAAATACCAGCATGCACCATCTGCTACCTCTGATGACTCTTTCACCCTTTACCATATGTGGTATCTGGATGTTAGTTCATAAACAGAATTACATTAAAAACAAGGTGGTATTAATAATATTTGCCTGTATTAAAGACTAACAACTTGGCAAGCATATTACCACTAAAGCACTATGTGTACTTCATCATACTACTTCTTTATATAATTACAAAACTACTCACGAGGATATCAGGAAGAAGCTTTTCTTTGCTTAGCAATAAGAGCCAGATACTCACAAAGAAGGGTCTTGGACCAGATCTTTAAGGTTTATCCCACTACGATCCTCGGCAAGGTTCCTGAAGCAACTGTCACTCACTAAAAAAAATAGAAATAAAATTAAAACAAAAAAACCTAAAAAAAACAAGGAGAAAAAGAGGTGGAAATTTAAGAATAGAACACAGTTCTGATTAACTAAAAATGCTTTTTGGTGTTGGGTGGAATTTGAACATTCATATATAGAATCTGATTTTCACTGAGGTCTCACCTAATTCAAAGATAAATCAAATCAATGGAAAATGATAAATACAGTATCACGGCTTAAGTAGAAACAGTTTCAGCTGGTGTCCCTACTACTTGTCTACCTGGGACTACAGGAAGTCAAACACAAACGGTGGATGTGCAGGTATACACAGATATCCATACACTTAACAGTAGAATCTTTAATCATGCACTGGTCACTATACCTAATTAGAAACAATGAGAGCTGCTATGTATTTAAGTTCATAGTTGTTCATGGGTTAGCAAAAATGTTTAATATGAGCAATAACCAAAACAAGTTCATTAAGAGTAAAAATTTATTCCAACAACTTAATAATTAACTTATAAAGTGCATGTAATGCAGCTAGTTACTGTAATAACTGAAATTACAGTAAATTTCACAGACATTTAAAAGAGTATTAGTGTTTTCATTTTCTTCACTACTTAAAAAAAAAAAGGAGAAAAAAAAGATACATTTAAACCTGAAACTCCAAATTTGTTCTCTTGTCTCTCAGCACATGTACCCCAATCCCACAAACCATCTCATTCCTCTTTAACCTCTTTAATAACACCACAGTCAATTTGAGAGGTGGAAAAAAGTAGTGGCACAAATACTTTTTAAAAAACCCAGCATCAGTTTAGAGGAATTACAGTTATATCTGACTGCAGCAAACTTTCTGAAGGACACAGGGGTTATGATATGGAAAATTCAGTGTAAGGATCAATTAGCCATAACTAGCAAGATAATCTGCCAGATAAAACAGAAGAGAGTTTATAAAGAAATGCATTATTGCTCATCTTCCAACACAGAACACAGCCTCATATTTAGTGAAAGGGGATGTGTTTAAAATCATCTGCAAAAGCAAGTGTTCCTACTTCTTTCTCTCTAAATGCAAAACACTCTCTTTAATTTACATCTCCAAGTATTCATATGCATCACCAGCGTCAAGAAAATGCAAATCATTCCCAAAATATATTGTTTTCACAGATTACAACACATACAGTGACAGACCTACCTAACATACTACAAAACTGCAAAATGTTTCTACTAGTACCCCTTATTGCCAATGCATCTCACAAGCTTGAAGCCTGTTAAGTCTGCTGGGAAAGGCAAGTATTGGAAGAAAGCATCCCAGAAGAGGAGGCTGGGGTGAACAGGAACTAGCCCCAGCTCACAGACAAAGCCTGACAGACTGACAGTAAAGGCAGTATTTGTCAAGTGCTGAAAACATTAAGGGGTTTACCTGCTTTGCACCTCAACATTGTAAAAACCAGTTGATATCCTAGGCCTCTCTTATCCACCATCTCTGAAAACAGTACCTAACAGTTGCTGATTACATACAATCTCTGAAAGCCAGTCAGTATATCCCTAGGAAGCTCTTGTCTTTGAGGTACTTGACATGGATCTTTAGTTTAAACAGCAGCTACTTGTGCTAACTAAGCCCAGAACTCTTGGCTCGTTCCTCACATGACAATTTAATCGCTGTCTGTATAAGTTTGTTAACTGAAAGTTACCCGTACCGAGTTCTCAAGCACTGCCCATATTGCCAGGGAAGCTCTCCCTGTGTACCTTGAGCCTTCAGAAATTTTTCATTTCCATGCTCATCTGTTGCATTGAACCCAAGACCCTTGAGGGGATGTCTTTACTCTTGAGTTAAAGCAGTAATTCCAAGATCAGCAGACTCACAGACAACCTACGCTCTAGATTTTATGGGAGAAAAAATTACCACCTAGAGTTGATATTTGATAGTTTATATTTGCCTCTTGTCAAGTTTGGCAACAAAATAGCAAACAGAACATTTTACCTACCGTCTCATCAGCAATCCTACACTACTGATATATCAACATATCTCCTACATTAACACAATACATCATGAATAAAAATTACGGTCAATACTATTTTTTCACTACTAACAGATCAAACATTTCTTAAGCATTAAATATTTAATCTAAAGATGCTGCATTTCTTCTACTGTCTTCTCCAATCTCCTCATTGAAAGTAATCACAATGATGTATCAAGGAAACTACCATGACTGTCTCAAAACTTTTTTAAAGGGAAAATGAAAAATGACAACATAAAACTATCTCATCAGTAAAAGTGGCCGTTATTTGTCTCTGTGTAACTCACAACAAGTGAGTTTAAAATGAATGCCTTTGTCTTATTTGTCTCAACATAACTCTAATATTATAATACTCTTGAATTTTAAAACTGAAAACCTTCCTTCTAGTTACCAGAGCTCGGCAATACAAACTTTAGCTAAAAAAAAACTAATTCTACACCAAATATCTAGAAACTCTGAAAAAGTTATCAGTCGTCTCTCTGGTTTTCTTCTTTGGTTGTAGGAGAGCTAGAAAACTGCAAAGCTGCAAATTTGTAAGCAAGCCTCTTCTTAAGTTACTGTTCTAGCCAGATTCAGATATCACAGAGAATTCAAACAAATGTGAAAAATTTCAAACTCAGTTTTAACAAGCAAGAATTCCAATAGTTTAGTTAATACTAACATTTGGCAATAACTGTCAATTAAATGACTAGCATTCATAGCAATAGGAGTTTCCAGTGAGAGGAAATCATTCAGTTGAATAGGGTGGAATAAGACCTCGACCTGCAAACAAGCACGGCCATGCTCCTTCACATCCGTGCAAACTCTCACCATAAACAAATAAAAGAATTGTTCAACAATAAATACAGGGTGGAAGCAATCAAGCAGAGCAGGTACTATATTTCTCACAGCTTAGAAAACCCTAAATCAACACTGCGCATATTTTTAAAAAATCTATACTCTGATTGAAACGCAAGCTATTTATTTTAAACAGGAGACAGGAGCATGAAACTCTGTTTGAAGGTATGACAGAAATATCAGGGTGATCAATGGTGCTTTAAGGTTGAGAGAAGAAAAGACAGAAGAAAACTTTGCATCACAGCCATAAATCATACTACATACACAATGGCTATGCCTAATTTCTCTTTAAAGCACAGCCAATGGATACTTTTACATTGGACAGCTATATGAACACAATTCCCATACAGGATTTTATTGTCTTGCTTCAAAATTATATTTTTATTTTTTTAACCCTCCAAAAGCTTATAAAAGCTAGTATTTTAAGCATTGTTGAGTGAATGGTTTATGGAGAGATACAGAATTGTTAGCTGCTCCCTTCTACATAAACTCCAAGTGGCTGAGCCTCTGATCTGCATTACGCCCCCCAGATGTACTTCCTCAAAGACAAGGTAAATGACAAGAAAAAATAGCTCCCTAAAGCATGTTCAGTGGAGTATTGAACATTCAGTGACAGCCTGTAAGGTACTAGAAATGTTTTTAAGAAACCAAATATTGGTACAAATATCACAGGCATTGACTAAACAAAATACATAGTCTGAAAAACATCACACTAAGAAGACATCCTTAAACATCCATTAAACAGTTTGACTTCCAAGTGAGCTGTTATATGTATCAAAAGCAAACAGGATTTAGCAATAGCTCCAATTTTCCCAACATTCGCCCTACTTTCAGCTTCTGGTTTCTATTACTGATGTTCTGTTTCTGACTCCTGTCTAGTCTTATGCTGAGGAAAAAACAGAGGTGGGAAGCTAATAGGGGAATATAGTTCTCACCTGTCAATTACACAGCATACCAAATTCCCCACAGAAAGGTTAAAATCAGTATTCACACTCTAATGTGCAAACATTCAATTTACAACAGCTGTGAAGCCTTCCCACTTGGCATTTGTGAACTTCTAAATTTGTCCATACGATTTTTTTCCTTTGCTTTCTTTAGCACAGTTTTAAATAAGACCATACTGAAGAAAAATGCATTATTAGCCTGTTGATTTCCAGAATGAGAAGTTCTTTTAACTCTGAAGGTAAACTAATGTTTTCTTCAAGTACAGGCAGGACATAATCTGTTGTAAAATTTATCCTTTTTTTTCTTTTTTTTTTTAAATATCCTAGAATTTGAAAACCACGTAGTTCTTTTAACATGTCGCATAATTTCTTACCCCACACAGTGTATTCCCAGTAAAAAAACCCCCAAAACCTCTCTTTAGATCAAAGCACTTCCAAATCCATAGCTGTTAGCCATCATTTTAACGTCATATGCTTTAGACGAAATGCAATAACTGCCCTCAAAAAATGAAGGAATATCTACTGTTTGGTAAAGCAAACTAATAACAAAGTTTACATCACCCATATGTAAATATGCAATTCCAGAAAATTACTGTTACCTGCCAGATTTTCCTCTTGGTTCCCAGAATTCAGAACTGCTTTTAGATTAGCTGTGACTACCTGTTTATAAAAATCATCTTGACAACAAAAATGTTACACTCATGAAGGTAGTCACTCACAGTGATACGGTATTAGTTTGAAAATACATGGACTACTACAACATTGAACAGTATGCACTGAAGAAAAAGATATCAATGTCTTCTATTTTTGTCTTTTAGTGACAACATCTCCTAAGTTCAGTTCTTTTTCTTAGGACCTCTTCATCTGCCTGTAGTATTTTTGCAGATCTCTCTTCCTTATCCCTCTTTTTATAGGATTATTTATATATTTAGGTTTTATAACAGATTCATTCAGCAGATAATAAATATAAAACATATCTAGTACACTTGGGATGTTCTGGAAAGTACTGGACTGACACAGCATTGTATTCTAGCCTGGTTTCGCTTGCAATAAAACATTATTCAGAAATCTCATTTCAGATTCAGGTGGTCCTGTTCCATGTGATGCATGCAAACATAGCAGGATTCAAGTATTTTGCTTTTACAGGCCCAACCTTATACACATGGCAGCAAGCACATTCTTTTACCTATTGTTGACTTCACAACATAAGAAACTCTGTTAAGGAAGCTTAAGGTTTAGGATATAAGGTAA